TTTAATTATATATATTGTATATATACACCTTACCAAGTCTGCCCAACAATTACTAAGCTACGTAACCTTAAAAGAATATAAGTAGTTTAATTAATATCAAACCTACTAAGTAGAGCTATAATCAATTCATGATAATATTATTAAAACTTTAATTATTTAATTTTGATAAATATATAATTTTAAAGCTTTTATATCTTATTTATTAATTTCTTTTTCAAAGATATTATACAATAATAATTTTATTAAAAGTATATAAACAAAGAATATATTGTTATAAATTGTATTTAATTAAAAAGATAATTTCGAAACATTTATACGAATTATAAGAAATATAATAAAAATAAAGTATATATTGTTTATCAAAATGAATTCTAAAGAATTTATAATATTATTAGAAATATTTAGAAATATTTAAAACGAATGTATAAATGTATTTTAGGAGATATATAACTTATTTTTAATTATATTAATTGATTAATAATTAAAGAAAATAAGTATTAAGTAGACTTGATAAGGTATATAAATATAATATGTATGAGTAAAAAGATTGTTTTATTTTTATCTCTTCTCTTCGTACGAAGAGGGAATTGCTATTATATATATATATACTACTCCTACTTATAAGTTGACCACTCTATTTTCAGGCCACTTCTGTTTTAGGTCACTTTTTTATATTAAAAATCGCTTTTTTGATCTATCAATATCTCTATCAATATATAATCTAATTTAATAAAAATTTAAATATATATAATTTAAGTTAAAACACAAAAAAACTGAGGAAAGATTTTCTTGGAAAAACCTATTAATCTTTATTACATTCGAATTAGAATATTATTTTCTATCTTTTTTCAAAGTTACTAAATTAATATCTATTTGGATTAGGGAGATATTATTGTTAATATTAGGAAAAAGATTTAATATGTTAATAATAAACTTATTATATTAAATATAATTAATGGAAAAGGTTAAATTATAGATTCCTATAATAATCCAGACTTTTTAATACTTGAAGATCTTATAGGAGAATTTCAATTATAAAGAAAAAGGTTTTTAGATATAGAAAAATAAAGAATGAAAACTTTTTAAAAAGTTTTGCCTTTTTCAAGAAATATTTTATAAAAGATATATTAATATAATATTTGATATTTTATTAATATACTTATAATTATTTTATATAATGAAAAGAAAAGCTAGACCTTCTGAAAAATATTTATAATATATTGATTCAAATGTATAGTATTTTATATTAATATATAATATTATTATGAAATATTAATTTCGATATTATCTTATATGATAGATAATATATTATCGATTATGATTGAAGAAGTAGTAATTCTTTAATGTAGAGTGTATATTATTAAAGCGATGGTATTTCAATATTATTATATTTATTATTTCGATCTTATTTAATCATCTAGTTTTATAATATAGTTTTGTTTTTTGTATTAATAAGATGGTCTGGTAGGCCTTAATATATTATATCTTATATTAATAGGGTAATCTGGTGGGAGGAAAGGGAATGAGAAATATTAGGTTTTAAAAAGAAATTATATACTATTGATGTATTATGGGAGAAGGTGAATATAAGGCTTATAAGTGATAGATTAGAGGTTATAATAGGATTATTGAAGAACTCGAAGTATTAGAGGGTGAAGATAACCTTTTGAGAGGAATACGATATTATAATTAACTATAGCTTTTATAATATTTTGAAAGGAATTAAATAAAAAGAAAGGGATTATTGTAATAGAGTAGAAAGTGTAGGGTTTTTATAAATATATTGAAGGATTTAATAAAAGGAAGGTTTTTGAATATGATAGGTTTATAATATAAGCGATTTGAAGGATTTAAAAGGATTGTTTGGAAGGTTACTTGTAGGTTTTAATAGAGAAGTTTAAAAGGGGGTAGGTTTTTATATCCTTTTCCTATTTACTTTATTCAATTAGAACTATATATAGGCGTATTATATGGTTTTAGTATAGCTATATAGACCGAATCGATTATGAATTTACTACTACTACTATAATTTAAGTCATTTTAAACTTATTCTGAAATTTTAGATTTTTAGGATTTTTCTATATTGAAATCTAAAGCTTCAAAAAATCGATTTTTTAATTTGTATAAGAATTACATATAAATTTAAAACTTTTATAAATCTTTAATAACTTTTTAATAATAATTATTAAAAGAAAACTATATATCATTTTGAAAGTTTTGAATTTAAATTTATATAGAAATTAAAAAAAAAATTAAAAAAAAATTAATAGATATAGAGATATAGTATATAATGAGTTTAGAGTAGTATAAATAATCCTTGTAATTTTGAGAGTATTCTTTTAAATATCTTTTTATAAGAAGTTTTCTATTTTTTTTAATCTTTTAAAGTAAATATATTATAAACTTATAATAAAACTTTTTAGTTCATTTTTAGCAATTTTTATTAAAAAGTCATTAAAGATTTTGTAAAAGTTTTAAATTTATATGTAATTCCTATACAAATTTAAAAATCGATATTTTGAAGCTTTAGATTTCAATACAGAAAAATCCTAAAAATTTAAAAATTTCAGATTAGATTCAAAACGATCTGAATTATATATATATAAATTTTCAATAAATTCTATTCATAAATAAGAAAGTTAAAAATTCCATTTTTGGTGTAAAAAGTAACCCAAAAGAGGGGTGGCCCGAAAGTAGGGTACCCGACTTATACTTCGTACGTATGTGGGGTAAAGCGTGACATTATATGTCACGCTCCTAGTCACGTGTTCCGACAATAAGTAATTAATTTAGAAATTTAAAGATAATTAATATATCAATAATTTCTATTCTAATTTTTTTATATTTATAATTTATTTATATATTTTATTAACTTAAATTTCTTATATAATATTATTTATATAATACTATTTCTAATTAAGTCCAGATTATTTTCTATTAAATGTATAATCTATAATATTATTAAATATAAATTTAAATATAAATTTCAATAAATCTTTAATTATTTAAATATTATATACTTTAAATATATTTCTTTTTAAAAAAATTATTTTAATTCTTTTTTATCACTTTAATTTTGATTTTATAATTATGAATAAACTTTTTTTTAATTAAAAAAGTAAATAAATCTTTTAATTTCAATATTAATCTTTTTAAATTATTTAGCTTAGATTTAATTAAAAAGTTTAAATTAATAAATTATTTATTATTATGTTATTTACAAATTAATTCTTTATATTAAGTTAATAAAGTTTAAGATTAAATTATTATAATTATATAAATGAAAATATATAAAATAAATAAGGAAAAATTAAGGAAAGTTAAATGTTTATAAAGAAATAATATATTAGTATTTATAAAGTCTAAAAAGAAGAAAGGATATTAAATTACGAAAGTAATATAGTAATAAATAATGTTGATTCTTATTCATATACTTCTGAATATTAAATATACTTTTTCATTAGGTAGAAATCTATTTTTAGGGTTTTGATCATATCGTCGGTAAAACAGGGGTAAGGGACATTGCGGGAGTTGAATGGGAACTTCAAATGTGATCGAATGTTCAACCTTGACACTATCATTAAAGAAAAGTTGTACACAATTTGACCCGGGTCAAAATTATAAGAAAAGATAGCCGACCAACCGAAATTTGGTAAAGGATATCCAGAAGACCAGTTGCAAGACGCGTTATCGTCCAAATGGATTCTGCTCATAATACTTCGTTGAAAACTTCCCAAATGTCCAAAGAATACAAACTACGTATCCGAGGTAGGGATGTATAAGGTGGAATTCATAGACTAGATGGCAGTCATCTCGCGAAGTTTGAAAGATATACAACATACATGTTGAATTCAGCATTTCAAAGTGTTTGAAAACTCTTGGTTGAATTCAGAAATTGAGATCTTCTGACTGTCGGATTGTATTTCAAACTATTGAAAGCTTCGGTTTGCCGGATTGTATCTCAACCTTTCTGAAAGCTTTTCATTGTCGGACAGCATTTTAAATTATTGGAAGCTTCTGATTGTCGGATTGTATTCCGTAATATTAAGAGCTTTCAATCATCAGGTTGCACATCAAACGATTGAAATCCACTGATTGTTGGACTACATTCTAAACCATTGAGATCTCTTTCGAGACTGCCTCTCAAACGACAATGTCTTCTTGGAAGCTATCTCGGTAGTCTATCAAGCGTTGAAAATTCGTACATCTCGAGCGCATCAGGAAATGCTGGGATAGCGATACGTATAGAGGAAGCTGTAACTATCATATCCGGCAAATGATGGCAGAAGAGCGATGCAGGAATCCATGAAGTGCGAGTGAGAGAGGCTCAAAACACTTGCTGCAATAGAATAATGCTGTCTCCATCACAACAACCAAATGGAAAGAGAAACAAATTCCTGGAAAGCATGACATTGATGTAGGAAAGTCGGTTCCGCTGGTACAGTTTCTGAAAGTGTATCAACTTGCCCTGCGACTAGCAGAGTGTAGTTGGGAGTTCCTCAGTCATATTTGACATCGATCGAAGGGGTTTCAATTATTGTACAGATTCACGCTGCTCGAAGGTTATTGATAATTATGATCAAGAGAAACATCCCGTTGAAACGATTTCGAATTTAGAGAATGTTAATGGACAGAGTAAGGTTGCCAGCATGGACAGATGAAGGGACAGATGTAGGGACAAACCGAGGAAATGACACAATTCCGTCTTATCACCGAAATGTGGGGTAAGGTTAAGCTCACAGCTCACAGCTATCAATATCAACCCCCCACCCCTCCATTCATACTATAAATCATCCATCTTCTCTCTTCTCTCTCTTCTGCCTTATCTCTGACTCTTTTCCAGCTGTCCTTTTCTCAATTGAACCATACATGTATCTACCGCCGTTCTACTACGTATGCCAATTCTTCAAAGATAAAATTTAGTCCTATCAACTCTTAAGTCCTTCTTCAAACATCCATCTCGTTGTCAATCCCCTCTTCCACAACTCTACAAACGAACCATGTCCTCCGCAATGTCCAAACGTCTCGAGGGTAAAACCATTGTTATAACTGGTGCCTCATCTGGAATCGGCAGAAGTACCGCTTTGGAATTTGCGAGGACTTCTCCTAAAGATTTGAGATTGATCTTGACAGCTAGAAGAATTGATGTTTTAGAAGAAGTAAAGAAAGATATTGAAGAAGAATGTGGTGAGGGAGTCAAGGTTTTGGCTGTGAAATTGGATGTTAGTAAACCTGAGGAGGTGAAAGGTTTTGTTGGTGGATTGCCAGAAGAATGGAGGGAGATTGATGTTTTGGTCAATAATGCGTGAGTATTTCTGCACTTTGAAGGAAGGAGAGCTAACTCTTCAATTCAGTGGTTTAGTCAGAGGTGTAGCACAAGCTCCATCTATTGCCGAAGAAGATATCAACATCATGTTTGCAACAAACGTAACTGGTCTCATCAACATGACTCAAGCTGTCCTTCCAATTTTTAGAGCGAGACCCGATGGTGGAAAGGGCGATATTATAAACATTGGCAGCATTGCAGGAAGAGAACCTTACCAAGGAGGAAGTATCTATTGTGCCACTAAAGCAGCCATAAGGAGTTTCGGAGATTCGCTGAGAAGAGAATTGATCGCTACAAGAATACGAGTCATTGAAATCGATCCTGGACAAGTCGAGACCGAATTCAGTGTCGTTCGATTTTATGGCGATAAAAAGAAGGCAGATGCTGTCTATGCCGGATGCGAACCATTGACTCCGGATGACATCGCTGAAGTTATTGTTTTTGCAGCCGGAAGAAGAGAGAACGTCGTTCTTGCTGATACTTTAATTTTCCCCAATCACCAGGTATGTTTGTAATTCTTTTGGTGAGAATAGAAACTAATAGAGGTATTGGCAGGCTGCTGCCACAGTAATGCATAAGAAGTCATAAACTGACCATCTATAGGCTGGTGCTGGAGGTGCAATGTATAAGAAGAGCTAAGGTATTCTGTTTGTGCATAGAATATGGATACCCGTTGCTAGATAAAAGCGAAAAGCCATTATGCTACCATGCATACAATATATATCATGTTTTTCCGTTTCAAAATTCAAAAGCTTCTATTCCTCTTCCAGGAACTGTATAAAACTTGCGCCATACCGGGTCTCTCCACAATCTTTTTACTTTATTTCACTACTTTGATTACGATGTCATAGAGAGAGATCTCAAAAATCTATATACTTGTAAAGATTATACATGACTGGATAGTCAGATTCTAGAATGGAAAAGTTGAAATACAACTGTTTGGAAGCATATCTACAATTGCTGTAGTGAGCTTGCAAATATGGTATCAGAATATTCTTAATTCTAGTCTCGGATGGCTTCATATTAGGGGCATTTCGCTCAACTGGTATTCCTTCAGATAGTGAGTTTCATTTCTCGCCAATAGATATGAATTTAGTTTCCTGGAATAAATGCTCACTGGAAGATAGTTTATTCATGCATTCATTCAATCCAACCTTGTACCCACTTCTCAACCCAGGCTCCCTCAATACCTTTCAATCCACGCAATTTCTCACTTGCTTGTACTGTTTTCTTGTTCTCCAAAATACTCATACCTCTTCCCTTCGCTAAACCTTCATAAAAGGACGATAGTTTGATAGCCGGATTCTTTTCCAACATTTCTTCGAAATCAATCTTGGAGTGTAAATCCTCTGCATCTCTTCGAACGCGCTCAATCCATTTCCCAAAAGACACACGATTGCTCGCGCACCGGTGGCTTTAAGGATTGAGTGTGTCATGGGGAGAGCAGGATTGACTGTAATGAGGACTTTGCAGTCGAGAATCTTGAAGAGATTCGCATGCGCTGGTATACTGTTTTGTGGGGAACTAAAGAACATCTATTCTCATTCTTATTAGAGAACAGAAGTCCCTATCATCAGAACTGCAGGTTATAACAAATCACATACCTTGTACCCCGCTTTCGCCGCACCTAGCATCAGCGCATTATATCGAAAATCGTTTGGGCCAATGTAAGCTAGAGTAGGGAAGTTTTCAGCAGGACCAAGGGTATCGGAGCCAATAAGCGAGACTATCAATCGCATTGGCAAAATTTGCATACTGATCTTGCGGTATCCGGACTCGTAGCTGGTGGCGGAGCGTGGGACTTCGGTGTAGATGCTGCTGGGACGGACTTTGGCTAGGCCGTCGATTATATTGTTGAGGGGTTGTTTGCGGCGGATGGGGGTTAGAAGAGAATGGTTGCCATGTTTTTGAGTGCATGGAGTTGAGCAATGGAAAAGGAGAGGGAAAGAATTGTAAATAGTATTATCACGGTGCAAGAGATAGATACTAGGTAAGATGTATGATATTTTATAAAGAGTGAAGAAGAAGGTAGAGAGATTCCGATTATATAGAGGATGGATGTCTTAGGCATTCATATAATTATATATTAAATCTATAATAGTACCTTTTCTCAAGGGTTTATTTGTTCTAAGTAAGCTAAATTCATTATATAGTTTATTATTATGTATAAATTAAATGAATAATTAAATTCATTAAATTAATAACTTAAATACTTCATATTAATCTAACTTTTTTTTTACAAATTAATCTTCAAGCTTCCTATACTTTCTCTAAGTATTTTAATATAGATAATAAAATTACTTTAGTTTTAAGATTATTTAATATTTATTTTAATAAGCTAAACTTTTCAGAATATATATAATAATACTTCATTAATAATTTTTCATTTCTTTTCAAATTTACTATTAATTATTAAATAGAAGTATAATACTTTTATTTAATTAAATAATAATAATCATTTTTATTATAATTATTTATAACTTTTTTAAAATTTTATTTTTATATTAATTTATTTTCACTATTCTTCCTTTCAAGAATTCTATTTTTAATAATAATTGATTCTAATTTATTAATTATAATTTATATTAGGAAATATATTCTATTAATTATAAGAATAAATAACGAATAATAAAAAACAGAAAATATTTAAATATTGTTTAGTAATTAAATAAAATAGAAATAAGGATAAACTTTTATAATCTTATATAGGCTTATTTATTGATTATTTAATTTCTTTACTTTCTGAAAGGTTTTTATATTTTTAGTATTTACAAATACTTTTTAATCTATATAATAATATAATGAATCAATATGATATTAATTTGTATTTTCTTTATATATTATAATTGCTTGTTTAGTAAGAGCTTATAATTATAATAGAATTCTTTTTATTTTGTTCATTATTTTATTATCCTTAAAAAACTCCTATTTTTGTATTATAATTATATTTGGTGAGTAAGGTTTGTTAGACTTTATATTAATATATGAACTAAACCCATAATTAATAAAGAATAACGAGTAATTAATAATCTTTGAAGTTATATTATTCAATATGAATTTAGTAAAAGGCAATTACTATATTCAATCGTTTTAATAAAAATTCGTAAAGGCTTGTAAATATTACTTAAAAACAAAATTTATTTGTTCTATTTACTTATCTATTTGTAAATAAAATACTAAAGAGTACTAAAGAATTACAATTAATTATTTAACTAATTAAAATTAAAAACCGAATATAAACTATATACTACAATTAAAAATAATATTATCTAATAGATTATATAAGATATAAATATAATTAATAAAGATATTAACAAACTCTTTTATTATAAGCATTCTAATCTTTATAAAGTATTTCATTTTAGTTAATCAACAAACAATAATTAGAATATGCTTATATATAGAATTATAATATATATAATCTGGAAGCAGTATAATATAATCTATCAATATATTAGACCAGGCTTGAAAGGGGATTAATAATAAATATAGGAATTTGAATAGGGTTGATCTTAATAACTTTATATATATATAAAGGTTATATGCTTATATATATAAAACAATCTTCTAGTATATTTGTAATTACCAATATATGCGAAAAACGAGGTCGATTGTTTTAATTCAACCTGAATATCTAACTAAGCCAAATAAATGTATTCTATAAATGATTTATACTTTTAACTTATTATCTAATAGAATTTATAATCTTTCTTAGTAATATATTTTATTATTTGCTATATAGTAATTTTATATAACAATTCGAAATATTTTTCTAAATTCTATTGACTATTTGTATATATATTAATCCTTAATTACTATAATAAGTTGATAAGTTATATTTAATCTTCTATAGGTATTATTAATTAATTTATTAATTAATTTATTTTTTATGAGTATTATAAGGTTTGTTAATATTAAGTGAATAACGTGGTTTAACACCGAGTGCACCATATTACCGAATGTACCACTTTTACCTCAATTTGTATTCTTCAACTTCAATATGTGATTTATTAATCATTTATTATACAATCAAACAGAAAAGAAGCTTAAATACTTTTAGTTATTGAAGTTATTCAAAAAGATAAGAAACTTAGCATTCAAAAGACTGCTAAGCTATATAATATAATGTATATAATACTTCTCTGTAAAATAAATAATTTACTTTCTTGTACAGAAATTCAAGCAAATAATTATAAAATAATTGATTTAAAAGAGGAGGTATCTATTCAGTATATAATTGATATGGATGATAAAGGATTCTCATTTAAATTAAGTGGTATAAAAGATATAGCGATTTATATTCTTTAATTGTAAGGAATAAAAAAGATTAAAAAGCTTTAGGCTTATCAATTTGTAAAGTGTTATATAAGATTAAAAACGTATTTTAATTATGTTTATGACTTTTAAAAAGCTTTTTACAAAAATTCCAAGCTTATTAAAAACTAATTTCATATAATTTCGAATATGTGAACAAAATATGGTATTCTCGATTACGATTTCTACAACTTTGATGAAATTGGCTTTATAATGGGTATGATATGCCCCAAAATGGTTATAATTAGTGCTAAATGAAATGGCAGAAGAAAAGCAATACAATTAGGCAATCGAGAGTGGGCGACAGTGATTATATATGGTAATAATAAAGGGGATACTATACCTCCATTTCTGATAGTTCAAGGACAAATGCATCTTTCCAATTAATATACCGAAATCGATTTTCCTGCGGATTAGGCTATTAAACCTATATTTAATGGATGGATGAATAATAAGATAGAATTAAAATAATTGAAATACTTCAATAAATATACAAGAAATCGAACTAAGAGCAAATATAGAATGCTAATGCTGAATAAATATGAAAGCTATAAATCAATACTATTCTAGAACTATTACAAGGAGAATAATATTAAATATATATGTTTACCACTACATTTAAATCATTTAACTCAATCTCTTAATATTAAATATTTTAATATTTTAAAACGAGAATATAGTACTCAAATTGAGGGATTTATAAAAGCACATATTTATTATATTTTAAAGATCAAATTCTTTATAGCTTTTAAAGTTGTATATCAATAATTAATTACAAATCAGAATATGAGAACTAGATTCTAAAGAGCAGGATTAGTTTCATTTAATCCTGAAACAGTACTTTCTAAATTGAATATTCGAATTCATATATTTACTCCTTTTCCTTTTAATTTAAATCTTTAAATCTCTCAAATACCTTAAAATCCTATAGAAGCTTTTTCTTAATTAATATTAGTTAAATCTCAAATAGCCTGTTATCAATTAAGTTCTCCTATATTTATATTTGAAATTATATTAATTCTAATTAAAGATATAGAGAAATTAGTTTATAAGAATATACTTTTAAATATAAAGATTTATATACTTTGAAAGGCAAATGAGGTATTAAGTAAGTATTGATATATAAAAAAAACTTAATTACATTAAGGAGGAATGTTTATTAAATAAGAGACTTTTGATATATTATTTTAATAAAAAATTAATATTCAGATATAATACAACAAATATTAAAATAAGGGTAATTCTAATGGGAAAGTATCTTTTAATAGATATTATAGTAAGTATAGAAAATCAGGTTATAATTCAAGAACTTATTAAAATAATATAATAGATCCTAAATTATTAAATTCTTAATAGTTTCAATTAATTAATTCAATTGTTATTGAAAAATATAAATTAGAAAGTGTAAATTGAGGTAAAAGTGGTGCATTCGGTGATATGGTATACTTGGTGTTAAACCACGTTACTAGTTTTTAGTTTATTATAAAGATTAATATCGAATTTGTCTACTAGTAAAACTATATATTCCCTATTCTTTAAATGTTTGTTGTCTTTAGTCATAAAGTTTAATTTATTATCCCTCTTTTAACTTAAAGTATTTAATCAAATAATCTTAAATCTTAATCAATAAATTATATAGAAATTATAATAAGGAAGAAACTCAAACTAATGAACTTATTGTTAATTCAAAGTCTTCATTGTAATAAAATATTTTAGGTTTTTATAATTAATAAGAATCTCAAATTCCTATTATAAATCTTAAAGCTCTAATTATTATTTCTTTGTAGATTTAATAATTATAAAAAGCTTCTTATTATAAATCTTATAATTATATTCTACCATAAAATACTTCATTAAAAAGTAAGCTATTAATTATAAAAGATTATCGGAATTATATTAAAAAAGTATTCCTCTTAATACTCAATTTAAAGTATTTATTTTTAGAATTATCCACTTATTATAATTAAAATATATAAAAACTGATATTATTATAAATACATCCTTAAATATAACAAAAACATTTTTATATAATACATTTCAAAACCAGTCAATATCCTTTCATAATAAATTATAAAGAGGCTGGTAAATCTTTGAAAAGTCCTTTATAAATTATTAATAGAAATTAACAAATTCTAAAAAGCATTACAAATCTTTCACTAAAAGTAATTATTTTTAGAATATAATTATAATGATTTTTTCAAAATCCATCTATATATTTTTAATTATAATTATTAATTCTAAATAGTGAGTAAAAATAGTTTTGAATTTACATTTATTTATATCAATCTATAGCCTAATATTTACTAACTTTTATATTATAATTCGAATATGCTTTTTATATTCCGATTTATCTATTAAATATATAAGAATATTGTCCAGATATACTATATAATATTTATCCAATTCGTTAAATAGAATATAATTAATATAATAGTAAAAG